TTTTCAGCTTAACGGCGTAAACGAGCACGCAGTGGTGTTTTCACATCTGCCATCGACCCAGTTTGTTTGAATTTACGAACAGTTTTTCCATCTGCACTCCCGATTGGTCGATTATGTTGACCGAAAAAATCACGAATCACTATTTTCGTAATAGGCTTCGATAGCTTTAACATGATGTTTGATTGTTTATCTTTACATGCCTGAAATTGCCAAAGACTCAAGTTGTTAAATCGGAAAGGAAAAAAAAATTCGATGCTTAAACTTAATTCACATTTAAAATCGGTTTTTTATTGGAAGTCATTATATTTCCCATAATAATTCTTATATAAATGTGGTACAATGTAGTAAAGTGAAGGCAAGATACACTTCATCTACAATGTGTGTGTGTGGCGTAAGTTATAGTTCTCATACACACAATTACCTTTTGGTCGCTTCTTTTTTCTCACCAGTTCCCTGGATCTTTCCATTGTTCCTAGGAGATCATTGGTCTAGTGCAAGACCACAAGTAAGGGGCATACAGTGCCCAATTCGCTCACATAAATTTTAGTATGTAATTAATGTCAGGAATTTACCAAACGTTTCAGTCGAATTTAATATCAGTCAGTAATCTTTGTTGATATGTGGTGGCCTCAGGATATATTTGGGTCAACGAAAATATACAAAACGTAAGCTCTGCATTCGCTATCACATCAGGAGACCTAGTTTTATCAGAGAGCTGTAGTAGGAGGTCACGTCATCATCTCCAATTGCACAAACTGACCACAAAAGATGGTGTCAATCGCTCCGCCGACATATAGTTAAAGAAAGGAACTGAACGTAGGATATTAAATACCCAAGATAACCGGACTGAAATAATTTATATAAACACCCCATTAGAATGTTTCACTTTCTTGTGAGACGTTCAAGTTCAAAGAAAAACTTTAACACTAGGATGGTCAGCTATTTTGACATCTTTATTTACATTACGCCGTGAAGCAGCCATCTTTAATATATTCAATATTCAAGTCAGGAATAACAAGTCTGAAAAGAAATTCACAAATATTAGTATACCTCATACTGAAAGAAAGTGATTATATATATATATATATATATATATATATATATATATATGTGTGTGTGTGTGTGTGTGTGTGTGTGTGTGTGTGTGTGTGTGTGTGTGTGTGTGTGCGAAAAATATATAGAAAATAGGAAAGAACTCGTTAGGTAAATAATCAAAAGTTCTTTAGTATATTTGTTATTATTTTTAAATAATAGTGCTCGATACAAAAGTAGAGCATAAATATAATTATTTATTTAAAAAAATTGATTTCAACACGCTACATAAGAGTTCTCATGTTTCAAAACAAGAGCCGAAAACTTCAATTGAAGTTTTCGGCCTTTTTTTGAAACATGAGAACTCTTATGTAGCGTGTTGGAATCATATTTTGAATAAATAATTATATATATATATATATATATATATATATATATATATATATATATATATATATATTATGTGTGTGTGTGTGTGTGCATAGATAGATAGATAAATAGATAGATAGGAGGCATGAACACAAGTATTATTGCTTGTGAGAAATGTTTCAATGCATTTACCCTATAAATAATTTAGGTGTCAAAAACGACACCTCGGCCATTCAAGGTAAAACCTCAAATATCGGCTATTCCACTGAATATTTTTTTAAAGAATTAAGTCTGTTAAGCATCTTTGCTAAAATTCAATAATTGTCCATAAGCCTCAGTATCGAACCAAAACAAGTTATTCCATAGTAATTTGTTGAAAATTTGAAGATTGAAATCCATATAGCCGTACGATTGATGCAAATTTTGACGCCTAGAATGAAATATCTAGACTCTAGCGTTCTTATAAGTCGTTACTGAGATAATGTTACGCAATATTAAATACTATGACACTTCTTTGTGTGATATTTATAATGAAAACCTTCTCAGACGAGGTCATCGCTATCGGGCAACCATTTATCAAAATCTTTAACTATTACCCCAGGCAATGTGTTTATTTCCTGAAGATCGTATGATACGAGTTCTATGAAAACGAGAATTAATAGTCTCTTCAAGTAAGTCTATTTCTATCACAAACTTGAACTATGCCCAGTGATCCTTACATGAAAACCTGTCATTTTTTATTGATACAAGCGAGAAACTATTTACAAGGCAAGACACATGCTATGGACTCGATGTGAAAAGCCGAATTACAAAGGCCCTGTAGGTTGAAGAATCACACATGTTATTTAAGTGTAGGAGGAGGGCAGCGTGAATTTGTCAGGCGAGCTCAAGTCACTATGTGTTTATTTCTTGATATGCAAGCAGCAATTTATATGTTATGCGTTAACGGAGCGGTGTCATCATTTTGTCTGTGTGTTCTAGCCAGTGATTTGGATTCGTTTCTTCGCTTTTACACGTAGAAAATTTAAGGTTCCTCTTCTGATGGAAGGTGTATTCCGTAATGAACATCTACCTGTCTCAATATTGTCTGCTACTAGGAAAACATAAGATACACACACACAGAGTCAGTTTCTTAGTCAAGTTTAAAAGCAAAATTTTTTGTAGTTACATAAAATTCGAAATATTAAAAATGGAACGCAACTGTGTAATCCTAATTCTGGATATTGGTAACTTGCCTTGATAAAGTCGGATTGACGGAACGCGACGGCAATGATTAAGAAATATTTATTTTATGCAATTTGTCTTATCTTCAGAATTATTTGGAGAGATTTCACACACACATACACACACACACACACACACATATATAAACAGACTGAAAGAGATAGATAAATAGAAACGAACAGAGTGTGATAGAGAGAGATAGGAACAGAAATAGATAGATAGATAGATAGATAGATAGATAGATAGATAGATAGATAGAATTGATGAAACGCTAAAGGACAGAACGTGCAATTTTTTTACAACTCTTCGTAATATATATATATATATATATATATACACACACATATATATATATATATATATACACACACACACATATACATACATACATATATATATATATATATATATATATATATATATATATATATATATATATATATAATGTATAGGATTGCTGTATACGGAATAAATTCCAATAACCCAAAAATACTATTCTTAAAAGAGTGCTCAATACAGAGTAGAGGAAAAATAATTTATTCGAAAATTATAACATAAATATGTTATAAAATCTTTAGACCCCCCTGCCCATATCATCACCTCAAATATATCTAAGTTGTAACGAAGCTTAGAGTAACATTAGATTTTAACGTTTATTCTAACTGTTTTTTTGGCCTTTCAATAAAAACAAAAAAAAATAACAAACATATATATTTTCCTCAGTTTCTTCTTATATAAGTATAATTTTTTAAGCTTAATGCAGATTAAATTAAAAATTAGTAATTCTTAATATTCAATTTTATAGTAAAATTTAATATCAATTAGAATGATTTCTATTTTTTGTCGAACGCTAACAATAATTATTGTAACCAAGGTTCGTTGTCAAGTTTTTTTGAATTCTCATATACTTGTATTTTGATTGGTCATTGCAGTTTATGTAACAGTATTTCCCCTAGCAAAGGGTGTTTCATTAATTTGAACATTTTTAAACCCCTTTATTCTACAGTCAACACCATCACTTGATAAGACACCAGAAGTGTCGGAACAAATGGCTACTTTTGAAGCGATTTTATAACATATTTATGTTATAATTTTCGAATAAAGTATATATATATATATATATATATATATATATATATATATATATATATATATATATAAGAATCCACATGCATGTATAAATATATAATAGATAGAAACAGTCTAATATAAATAGAGAGATAGATAGAAAGAAAATTATATATATATATATATATATATATATATATATATATATATATATATATATATATATATATATATATATATATATAAGGAAGAGCTTATAGCTGTTCCAACGAGAGAAAAGTGTATGTTATAAAAGGAAGATAAACCGTAAACGTTTTTGATTGAAATGTGAATTTTTTTTTTATTTCAAACGATATATACTCCATTTTTCATAATTCTGCTACACCAGTTTCTGGTTTCGCGATTTCAGATTGAAACAGATAGATCGATCGGTAGATAGATAATGAACAGCGTGTAATAGATAGATAGATAGATAGATAGATAGATAGATAGATAGATAGGTAAAGATACGGACATGAACAGATTGCAGAAGATAAGAAGATAGTCACATTTAATAACTGGGATTGATAGCTTGGATTGATGCAGTCCTAAATGACGAAACACGGATTGATGAAGCCCTAAATGACGAAACACGTTATATATATACATATATTATTTTATAGAAAGAGAGAGAGAGAGAGAGAGATTGAACTGTAAAACATCTATCTATCTCTCTCTCTTTACATATATATATATATATATATATATATATATATATATATATATATATATATATATATATATATATATTTATTCTGTATGTTTGTTGTGTTAATTATAAGTTCCATTTTCCCTAAAACTTTGTCAATGCCCATTTGTTCAGTTCAATCCATATTATCCTCAGCATCCTTCTGTATAAACTCATTTTCGTTGCGTCATTTTTTCTGTGCTTGGATTATCCAGCATTCAGTACTCCTAATATGTAACTGTTCGATGTTCTTTTCTTCGTTTCTAACCAAATAACTAACTTAATAATTTGACACTATTCAAATGCGCCTTAAGGTATTTAAATTATTGAACTCACTATAGGTTTTTCATTTTGCAGACAACCATACATTCTGTCTTCTAGCAATTAAGATTTAATCCTTCCTTATCACTTTCCTACACTATACACTGTAGCAGTTTTGGAGATTTCCTTTCTCTGCCTGCTATCAACACATAGCTAAAGTTGTTAATATTGTGACCGGCAAAATCCAATCCTTGTAGGACTTTTAATTATCTCAGAATTGCCTAATTGTATAGTGTTTTTTTTTTAAGCATAGCTTCGTATGGAGCATCAGTTAGTGTCAAACACTTTACTCAGTCATGATTACACCACGTCTAAGTACTCGAAAATGGTTTTCTAAGCTACGCACAAGACTGAAAATATAGAGCAACTAGTGTGGATCAAACTCACTAATTAGTCGTAACTGATCTAGTGAAACAAACTTGATAACCATTACATAAAATATCATATCGAAGTGCCCATTTGTCTCACTATATTGGTTGTATAAGTCCGGTGAGGAGATACATTTTTGTCACACTGAGGTTGGTAATGAATGATAATACTTAGGACACGAACAACACATGTAATATTCGCCAGCGGCGCCTAGAAATAGTCAACTACTAGAAGTGAGACGAGTGAATTACACAATGAATCTCCAACTGCAGGATATCTATCAACTGCCCCACGCAGTCACATTTGGTACATGGCCAAATTTAATATGTGGTATCCGAACCTGTAGGCTAGGCCCAAAATTTCCCGGTGACCTCGTATAAAACGGAGTCGGATAGCTGTTTGCCGAGACGAGACTCTGCCCTTCGACATAGCCTCGTCTGGGGATCCACTCTTCCTGGAGACAGAATGTTTGACTAGCACAGCTAGAGACGAATCTCCAACTGCAGACCAACATACAGTTTTTACTATTGTATTTATGTGAATAGGGACATCCCCATTATACTCCGTAGGTATGCTACAACATTATATTTACTGAATTCACTTTTATATCAGTATGCTGGGAGTTAGCCCCCAGGATAGGTTCTGGATTATTCTGATATTCTTCTCAAATAAATCAAATGAATTCTAAAAAAGGCCCCGAAATAATGCACGTGGAAACGAATATTCGTTCTGTGTATGGAAGAAACAATCATAGTCTTTAATTTCCCTGACGTAACAACGATTCAACATCTCTCGTGTGTTTTAGATGAAGTATTGTAACTGTTTACACTACTTACATTGTTCAAACTGTTGTCCTTATATTTATTGCGATAATTCCTGATGTTTCGGCCGTTGTACGCTCCGGCCATCTTTGGGTGATATACTTTGGAATTTCAACGAGAATCCTTTATTTTGCCCACGAGAGTAGATTCTTCTAATTTCTTCTACCATGTGATGTGTGCCCTAGGACACATGGACCGGTGGATAGAAGCTATTGTTGAAGAAATCCAAAAAGTGACTTGTGCAAAAGAGTTGCAATTTAAGTACCTAGCCACAACAGAGCGGACAAAAACTTGGAGATACTCAAGAGAATTAAGTAAAACTGGGATATCCAAAAAAAAGGCATGGCATGTGGAATTAGTACAATCTATTCCTGTGGACTAAATAAAGGGTGCGGTTCGAAATTTCAACGTCCATATTTTTTTAAATGAGTTATTGAAACAATTTTCATTATTTATATCATTCCTACAGTTGTTCACATCTTTAATGTCATATTCCCCACGCTTCGGTCGTTATAAGCTCCGGTCTTCTCCTGGTGATATACGTTGAAATTTCGAACTGAACCCTTTACTAAAGGAAATTAACTGAAACTGAGATATAGTTATACCAGAACATTACCTATTCTATTGTAATAGACTCTCCCACACATAATAAGTAGAAGTAGTAGTAGTAGTAGTAGTAGCGGTCGCCAGTTTGGCTCAGTGGAGTTGAGTGAGTCAGTCGATGTCGGACATTGAAGTATCAACCATCACAACTAGATTGCTGCGTCATTGCAAGTTCCTAACGTTTTATACGTTGGACTCTTTTAGGACCGACTTATTGAAATACAAGCCTCCACTGTGAAAACTACTTTACAACAGATATCTAATGGCATGTCGCATGGGATTAGACTAATCTACCCCTGTGGACTAAATAAAGAGTTCAGTTCAAAATTCCATCTTTTATCACCTCGAGAAGTTAGGAGCGTACAACGACTGAAACGTCCTGAATATGGCAATAAAGTTGAGGGCAACAATCCGAACGTAAATAGTGAAAATAATAACAACGGCTCTTTGGTTATTTCCGATGTGGAAATTTATTTTATTTTATTTTATTTTATTTTATGTTATTTTTTAGATTTCCCTCGATCCGGACGTGCATGAAAACCTTAAATGAGATCGGGAGATTTTGAGGATTCCACTCTTAAATGTTGTTTTTCCTCGGTCCCATTGACCCGGGGTGGTAACAACTAGTAGGGTCCCAGCTATGGGCAAATAGTTAACTCCAAAACTGGGGTTACAACATTATGAAAGCATAAAAATAGATTTTTATAGTAAAAATACCAGCAATACATTTTTTTTTAAAAATGTTACCAGCGATACATTTGATTATCGATTAAACCCTCATAAAAAATATATTTCAATGAAACCTGATCTACAAACTTCTTCTTCTTCTTCTTCTTCTTCTTCTTCTTCTAGAAGGAGATACTAGACCATTATTCCTTATCCTTCTTCGATTACTAGGCCATTATTTCTTCCTCTTCTCCGAATATTAATTCTTCTTTCTTCTTCCTTTTTTCTTCTTTTCGAATACTAGACTTTTATTTCTTCTTTATCTGCTTCTTCTCCGATTACTTGTTCTTTTTTCTTCTTTTTTCTTCTTTTGGATACTAGACCTTTATTTTCCCCTCTACTTTTTCTTCTTCTACGAAGACAACCTCTTTATTTCTTCTTTTTCCTTCTTCTCCTCCGAATAATAGTTTTTGTTATTTCTATTACATTTTTCTTCTTTTCAAATAATAGACATTTTCTTCTTCTTCTTCTTCTTCTTCTTCTTCTTCTTCTTCTTCTTCTAACATTAGTTCTTTATTTCTTCTTCCCTTTTTCTTCCCTTTTTCTTCCATTTTTCTTCATTTCATATACTAGACCTTTATTTGATCTTCTTTTCCGTCTTCAAATATTAGTCCATATTTCCGTTTATTCTTCCTCCTCGTATTCTTCTTCTTCTTCTTCTTCTTCTTCTTCTTCTTCTTCTTCTTCTTCTTCTTCTTCTTCTTCTTCTTCTTTATGGAATACTGTTTTTTTCTTCTCCGTCTATTTTTCTTTGAATTCTAATTACTTACTTCTTCTTTTCGTATACTCGACCTATATTCCTTCTTTTCTTCTTCTTCTCGGAATACTACATCCTTATATCTTTTTCTTCTTCTTCTTCTTCTTCTTCTTCTTCATGATAGCATTCGTTCCCCCCCTTTTTTCCCCGTCTTCGCATCGCCTTTATTGCAGCTGTGTTTAAGACGATTCTCGAAAATGTAGCCGATTACGTTCTAACAACGAAGCAAACGCTGCACAAATATTTTTATCATCATCTATTCGTGGGGTTAAGCGATGCTTGATAAATGTGTTTTGTCAGATGGGTTAATTAATGTTGTGTCGGAAGGGAAATACATCAGCAAGGTACGTAAGTTTACAAGCTTACCCTAATAGATGCACCACGCGAACACACACACACACGCGCGCACACACACACACACAAGTACATATAAGCATACTCACGCACGCACGCGTGTGTGCACAAGAAAAAAGCACACAAACGCTTCGGCGAGCTTGTTGTATGAATCATGTGATAACAAATTTAATAACCATACTTTGTTTCTGTTTCTGTATCAAAACAAAAACAGAGAGAGAGAGAGAGAGAGAGAGAGAGAGGAACATAAACACACAAATATATATATATATATATATATATATATAGTAGATTTTGAAAAGTTCTATACCGGAATCCTTTCCCAAAAATTTTGGCCAAATCATCAAAAACAAGGTCTGGTGGATTGGTGAGAGTATCATTTTTAGGTTTACCCCTGTAAAATTTTTCGGAACATTTTCGTGTGTGTGTGTGTGTGTGTTTATAGTGTATATATATATATATATATATATATATATATATATATATATATATATATATATATATATATATATATATATATATATATATATATATATATATATATATATATATATATATATATATATATATATATATATATATATATATATATATATATATATATATATATATATATATATGTATATATATATATATATATATATATATATATATATATATATATATATATATATATATATATATATATATATATATATATATATATATATATATATATATATATATATATATATATATATATATATATATATATTCATACGTATTAAATTAATAATTTTGGCAAAAGGCCAGAAAGATAAGGTACTACCTGAGACTGAAAACATGAGATGAGAAATAAGTTAGCCTCAAGGTAATTTTTGTAAATGTATATACACACACACACACACACACACACACACACACACACACACACACACACACGCGCGCGTCTGTGTGTATGATTTTAGGAGAAGGTGAAAGTGAAAAAAGAAAGAAGGAACGAAAAATCTATGAAAATGTATTCATTTATACTATATATATGTACTTGTCCATATCAATGCATGTATATATATATATATATATATATATATATATATGTATATATATATATATATGTGTGTTTGTCTGTGTGTGTGTGTGTGTGTGTTCATTGATCTTTTTAGTTAAACCAACATAGTTAATCTGTGCTATCTAACAAAAATATTCAGCAAATGTGTTCTGTTGAGTTTAAATAAACTTAGCTGATTCAATGTATTTGTATCTTTTAATTATTATGTTAAAATATCTATGTGTATGTATGTGTGTATTCGCGCGCGCGCGTTTCTGTTTCCAGGTTTTTTCTCAAAATTTATAAATGGTAGACACGTTGAACAATATATATTGTGAAACAGCATAATCCGGGGAATCTTTTGGTGCCCGTATTTTGACCAACACATCCATACAGATGATAGCCTTACTCAACTCTTACCAAAGTAATAATCTAATGGTAAATTTGCCATCATCATTTCTTTTCGCCTAGGTTTTGGGTGAAAAAGCGAAGTCTGCGCCTGTTTCCCTATAAAATTCGGAAAGAAATTTGAGGTTAGCGAAGAAAGTTATCGATACAGAATGTAATGGATAGTAAATAATACGACAGAGATTCAATATAAACATAATTTGATTCATTGGAAGATTGAGTTATTTACTAAGGCTTTTCAGGTTTTTAAAGAGACAATTTTTTATTGTAAGAATTTTTGAGATCATAATAATTTATTGATACGCGTCTTACTAATTAACCTATAGCTGGGAGTATGAGAATTGGATTCATAACTTTCCCAATGGTATTCCGTGTAAGTGAATATAGCTGTAGAATAATTCAACACGGGTAAATAAACTGATAGAAATCCCCAATAAATACAATTGACAAATTATGTACAGTGTAACCCGGATATAAGACACCCGGATATAAGAGAAACCCTGATATAAGAGAAACCCGGATATAAGAGATTTTCTCTGGTCCTAAATTAGAGCCTGTGTTAATGTATATAAATTAGACCAAACCCGGATATAAGAGAAACCCGGATATAAGAGACTTATTCTCTGGTCCCGACAACTCCCTTATATTCGGGTTACACTGTAATAGAAAATAAACAAATAAATAAAAGAACAGGACAAATAAAAACGAAAATGTATTCAAAAGAAAAGCATGTAAAGCAACAGTAATGAGGCAGATTTTCACAAACTAAGAATGGTGTTAACGCACAAAAGGGGATACAAACAAGTGATCGCAGCGTTCTGATTTCAAGATTAGAAAGAAGGAGAATATGGCCGATGAGATTCAAAGTATTAATCGAGTAAAATGTTTCCTTTTGAATAGACGACCTCTCATAATTTGCATTATTTCCATTAGAAATTATAATTTTATCTTTGTTGATCTTATTATTGCAACGTTTGCGCCCCATCTTTCTTCATTTGTCTTCAATCGATACGTGTAACTTTCAAGTAAATTCAAAATAAACCGTTCGTATAATAATGCCTGACTAAAAACTGGAGACCAAGCGAAGTGCACGAGAGATTTGACTTGTGGTGACATCCGTCCACCGAATGGAGGAGCACGTAACCTCACACATGCAACCGTGCAATCGTGGGCCATAGTTTAAAACTCATTGTCATATGAACAACCTTAGCGAGAGAAGATTTGGGTAGGCTCTCACACATAACAGGCAGAGCATATAAGGTCCACGTGTCACATAAAGTCTACAGGACCGGTGCCGCCTTCGTACTGGTCGAAAATAACTGACGACGTCAATGAGAAATAGAATTTAATGTAAAGTAATGAGAGATTCAAATCTCGTATTATCAGTTTGTAGGTAGTCTCATTTCTTCGTTTTTGTGTCGTGACCCCACAGGACGTGGCTCTCCACAACTTCCTATACTTTGTAGCACTTTTACTCTCCCTCACACTCCATTTACATCAGTTTGTTAAGTAGCTTGATCGTTATTTCTCCCTCTGCTTGTGCTCTTAGAATTTTCTGTGAGCGTTAAAGACTCCTAGAAATGTCAACTGTTCCTTTGTATTTCCAAATATAAGCGTGATTTTTCTGTTTCCATCTTACTTAAATCATTCTCCTTGCTTACCTGCTTCGTACAGGAATTTTCTGTGGAACAATTCCACTATTGCTTCGAGTTACCTCTTTATCTTTGAGGAATTCATCAGGAATTCTCTGCTACAATCTATGGCGTAGATTATTGTCGCCCGACTGTCTATTTCTAGACACGTGACGCCTTCTTCTTTTCTTTGTACGATTCAGTTTTTCTCGCTGTTTTCACTGAATCTTACCCAGAGCAGTGATTGAACCCATGCTTGCTATGAACCCAAATTAATAAAACCAACATTTTAATTCCCCAAACCTAATCAATCGAACACACATCTAAGCTATGTTACCGTTACGTCATATAAAGTCACGAACGGCGCTATGAATTCCTATGAATAAAATCTGCTTGTTTTGAAAAACTACTGGCAACTTTTGCATCATATTACAATATCACTAGTATATTTAACTGTAGCGTCTATTTCTCAAATCAGTGACTCATGCCTGTCGTATGCGGCATTCAAAATCGTAAACACTGGAAAATCTACAATATTCAGAACTTTTTTTTTCTATAATCCGGACTTTTCTCTGTCCTGAAGCTTTCTGCAAAATACTTTGTAACTGTAATTGAACATCCTTGATTGATAACTTTCGTGGCAAATGAGTTCTGTTCTCAATGAAACGTCTTATAAATAATGCAGCCATCTGGTTCCCGTGTTAGACCAAAAACAATTGAGTTTGTCTCCAATAATAATTGTTTTCCGAGGCTTATTCGCTAAAATAACACTTCTTGTGGAAGGAATTGCTCTCTCTTATCCGCTGTGGAATGGAAAGGTCATTAACCTCAGGGGTCAAACTGAATGATTTTGGGGACGTGTTTCAGTGCAGTGGGAACAGACTGTCGAATAATTTATACCGTCTTCATTCTTTCTATTTTTATACATACATACATACATACATATACATATATATATATATATATATATATATATATATATATATATATATATATATATATATATGTTATGACTGTTTCTCGTTACTGGAAAAGTGTTCGACAATTGAAGGTTTTGAGTACACTATTCAAACAAACTTGTTCCTACTTAGAAAATAAATTTATGTTTCAGAGTTGTGCAGTTCTGCTTCTTTATTCGCCGTGTCCGCTCAGAACTTAGGTGATCATGACTCTCCACAATTTCCTCTTCTTTGTAGCGCTTAATAATTTTGGTCTTTTTGTTATCTTTACTAAACCCTGGTCCTTCATCCATTTACTCAAGCCCACGCGTTGTTTTCCTCTGTCTTTCATGCCTTCAATCTATCCTGCGAATATCAAATTCTCCAAACACTCTTTCCTCATTATGTGCCCTAGAAATTTTCTTACTTTTCTTCCTTATATTAAGTATAATTTTCTTTTCTTTTTTTTTCATTTTCTCTAAAAATGCGGGCCATTTTTACTGTGGTATGATTACGCATGCGCATGAAAGAAAGGTGACGGTCATTTATTTACGTTTTTGACAAACTTATCGAATCAAAATTCTGCCTACCACTAAGAACAAATACAATGGAAGATAATTTACCAGAGCTTAAGATAAAATTTGTTACAACTTCTTCAGAAACAATAAAAGTCTTAAATAAAACAATGAAAAATAATAAGCTAAAACGAAGGAATCATCTGTAATAATTATAACAAGGAATATATAGGAATAACCTCTATGAATTTAAATAAAAGATTATACATAATGAACTCCCTGAAATGAGTCTGACTCTAATTTCCTTTTAAATTTTTTTAATTCAATTATAAGTAAAAGCAATTTACTGAGACTAAAATGTATAAAATGTTCTTTAATCGCTAGAGCCTTCAAAATAAATTTGTCTCTATGTTCTTACAACATTACCTGATTATTGGTAGATTTTGTCTCATCCCAATGTAGGATATTTTATAATGGAAGTAACGGAGAAAAAAAGAAATTGGTTAGAGTACATACTCCAGCACATTTGCATGTCTAATCACATCAACGTAAACATCACTTTAGTCGGATGAAGTCCTAAATGGCGAAAATGTTTCTTTTCTACTTTGTCATAGATTTTCTTAAAATTGTTCCGCTATATAAAGCATTATATAACGTTTTCCCATAATATCGATATGGAAACATATCAAACACTAAAAAAAAAAAAACAGAAAAAATATATTTTAATATTGGCCCATCCAATTACTACAAACTCTGCTTCCAACCACGAACAATAACAAAACTACAGATGAGGATGGAAAGAAAGCTAAAAAAAAAAATAGAAAATAATAAAACATCCCTAGATATTGAGGCTGAAATTTAAGAATAACTTCCTCTCCCCCGAATTCGATAACACGTTTCTCAATTTCAATAAGGGAGTCTGGAATAAGAAACTTATCGGAAATCCGCAGAGTTTATCGCGTAATAATTCACTCTCAATACAAAAAATACTGTCGCATAGACCCTTACACATAGACAGATATCTGAATTGGATCCATTATTGTGGAAGTATTAATGAACATTATATTATTTAGGCTTTCATTTTGTTATGAAAGTCAAGTCCTCATAAACCAGTTTGTTTTCTGTAAGGGTGTAATGATAGCATACATATCATCAAATAAAGCCAAGAAATTGCTTAACTCGCTAAAAGGAATTTTATACCAAAATGCGAATCAACTGAATGCATCGATCTAATTTAGGAAGTGTATCGATCTTGAGAATTTGACATATCTGGCGAAGACCACTGTACGGAACCAATTCAAACTTGATCATGAAGGTGACAAGGAGAAAATGAGAACCCCGTTCTATTTAATTCTTTTTTCTAGATTCCCTGCACATTCAAAAAAATTAAAAAAAAAACAGACGTGAAGTGATTGGCAATGACCATTTCAGCATTCCATACCATTTGATATAATGGAATATACGTACACCTGTGTTCCCCCTCACTGGAATATGATTGGCTGGTGTCCGTCATAAATACCGACGGACGTGTAGGAGAGTATAGCCTTACCCTGAGAGCTAAGTCTATAACGACGCCCATTGGACTACGCCATTGATCTACACTTCTTACCTGCGACTACGACGAGTACCAGTCGATTACTGCTACCGTATTCTACTTGGTTATAGTAGCCAAAAACCACTTAGCTACTTCGTTCAAATATATTCCTTTCCGGGACATATCACTATTTCCCAAACGAATCTACCAATCGAAGAAAACTTTTCCTACCGAATCCAATATACTGATAATTGGGGTTATGCACATGACATTGGTATCTGGTTTTGTTTTAGTAAAGGGTGTAATGATGGCCTAAATGGCATCAATTCCAGGAAATTGTATAACTCCCCCATAGAAAATAACTGCAAGGTTTACCTCACAGTATGTTATGACAACACCAATAGAGATTTCCTATTCTCATCTATGAGAAATCGCCTTCCAAACTCTGACTCAATTGAATATATTGTTCTGCTAGAAAATCGCTACTATATGTCTGGTGTAGAACTCATTACTAAAAAAAATAAAAAATAAATAAATTAACTCATCGGAATTACACGTAGGATATAAGAGTCACAGTCTATTCAAGAATTTCCTAGAATATGAGATGCGCATTTACATGATCGAACAAGATCTAACGTGATGGTCACTGATCATTCAAGTATTCCATTATACATCGCAGAAGACCTGACTAATAAAAAACAGAGATTCTGTTTTTTTTTCTTTCTGAGGCCAATGTACTGATGCTAAGGGTGGTTATGCTGATGATATAGTTATTCATATTTGGAATAAACATTATCCTGGACAGAAATATATCTTTACAAAATAGAAACTATGAAAACTTGAAATGAAAATATTGATGATACTAACCATCATAAAAATCCAAAATGTGGAATTAATGAATAATAAACACTTCAAATACCTTGTAGTAGGGATCAATAATGACAAATTTTCTAAAGGAAATAAGGAAAATGAACATTGAATAGGCTGCCGTAGAGGTAGTTTCATCCAAAGTTATGATAGAAGTTCCGAAAAGCCAAAAAATACTCCGGTCTTACTCCTATATAGACTTGTCAGATCCAGTCTTTCATATGGATGTCATGCCTGACACCAAAATTATTCAGAAATATCTAGTCAGTAATTACAGCAGTATACAACCGCTTTTGCAGATAAATAATTAAAATTGTTTCGTAATTATTTTCTCTCTTTCTTTCTTTCTATTTGTCTTTCTTTATTTCTTTCCTTCTTTCTTTCTTTCTTTCTTTATTTCTTTCTTTCTTTCTTTCTTTCTGTCTTTATTTCTTTCTTTCTTGATCGTTTTCTTGCATTTATTATTTAAATACTTCCTCGGTTTTCCCTTATCTTTCATTTTCTTTCTTTCTTTCTTTCTTTATTTATTTATTTCGTTATTTATTTTTATTGCATTATATCTTTAATACTTCCCCAGCTTCCTTATCTTTTCTTTTTTTTCTTTCTTTCTTTCTTTCTTCCTTCCTTTCTTTTCTTTCTTTCTTTCTTTCTTTCTTTCTTTCTTTCTTGATCGTTTTCTTGCATTAATTATTTAAATACTTCAACAGATTTCCCTTTTCTTTCATTTTCTGTCTTTCTTTTCATTATTTTTTATTGCATTATATCTTTAATACTTCCACTTCTTCCTTCTCTTTTCATTTCTTTCTTTCTTTCTTTCTTTCTTTCTTTCTTTCTTTCTTCATATATTCCTGCTTAAATACCATTATTTTGCTTTCTTTTATTTTCTGTCTTTTTTACCTTCCTGTTTGAGTGTATTGTTTGAGATATTTTGACTCCATTTCCACCCGGCTTTCGCATGTATTTGTTTTTAGTATTTCCTCACTAATTAAAATACTTATTTCTACAAATATTATGATTTTATTTCGATTCGTTTAAACTTATCTTCATTTCTGTACACGGAAATAAGCATAGGTTTATTAAAAGATGAACTAACTGAAAGATAGACAAGAAAAAAAGAAAAGAATGAAGAAAGAACTAAAAAAAGAAATAAATAAAAAAGAAACAAAAGAAAAGAAAGAAAGAAAGAAAGAAAGAAAGAAAAGTAGTGAAATAAAAGAAAAGAAAATGATGAACCTTCTCGAAGCCAAGTGGACAGGCGCTACAGGATCACAAACAAACACCGTACCAAATAACATAAACTGCATCACTTGAGGACTACCAACAGTACCAACAACTAAAATGGATAGTACACGTTGCTCAAAGGGAAAATTATGACATAATCGAGATGTTGACGTTCCACATTACTTCAAAGAAAAGGTTAGGAAGGAAAGCCTCAATCAATGCTGGAGAGAGCGATAAACGCTACTGGATTTGAGAAACCTTTTTTCCTGTAAAATTCTTTTAATAGAAAGATTTTATAAATATCATCTGCCAGCAGCGTTTGTTGCTCGGGTCAATGAATGCTGAATATTTAATTATAAGGAAACATATATATATATATATATATATATATAGTAATAATACCGTTACAATACATATATAGTATATACTCGTGAAACGCACGACTTCCAAATTTTCACTAATAAAAATGATTTTATCATGTATCTCGTGTATCAAGCGAGTTCCTTTTTTGAGAGACCAAATTGCAATAGACTAACCTCATTTATTCTATTTGTTTATCCCATTTTCTACTGAAATATGTTAAAAAGTTCTAAGAGAATGATAAAAAATATCGTTAGTAACGCTATACTCGTTGCCTAGACGCCTACAGTCATAAACAAAGGAAAGAGAAACAGCTAAGCATCTTATAAACGTAAACAATGGGAAAGATGCATAAAAGCTATGTTTGTATTTTATAATACGATACTAATATGTGAATATAATATTATTGGATACACTTAAGTAAAACATTAGTTTCATCAAAATCATGATTATTTTAAATATAGATGTACTTTTTTGACTACAATAAATGCATATATATATATATATATATATATATATATATATATATATATATATATATATATATATATATTACGATAAACGTGCAATCAATTTACAATTACATGAATTATTCACACAAAAACTAATGCAAAGGTTAATGATTTAAATGGCGAGACATCCATCATCGCAAACAATTCAAATAATATACAAAAACCTCCGAATCCGTTATGAATGAAATGACACTTGTTTATATAAATTTCTGCCGTATTAGTTCTTATTTTTACTACAAGCTTTCGTCTGTTCCTACAGACATCTTCAGGTATAGAATAGATATTGTTCTTGTTTTTTCTCTTGATGGATGTCTCGCCATTTAAATCATTAACATTTGCATTAGTTTTTGTGTGAATAATTCATATATATATATATATATATATATATTGGTCAACGGTGCAGAAGGTACGCTAATTTTATATCTCGTATACGATGTGACCCTCTTAAAATTAGCTTCAAAATTAGGTCTTCAAAAGTCTCACGATACTCGAGTATATACGACATATTATTTTCTTGTTTTTCTTTTACCTCCATTTTTTTATTCAATCTTCCGTCTTCTTTTATTACAGCGTCCTTTCATTTATTTCCTTCTCATTTTTTCTTTTAAATTTTCCTTTTCAATGACACTTTTTTCCTTATTTCCTTCTATACTTGTTACTTTAATTAAATACGTATCTAAAATTGCTTATCATTTCTTTTCTTTTTTTCTTTTCTTTTATTTCATTATTATTTCTTTGTTTTCTTTCGTTTCTTTTTCTTTCTTTCTTTTTTTGTTTCTTTCTTCATTTCTTTTCTTTCTTTTTTCTTTCTTTTCTTTTTTCCTTCTGATCTGTTTTTTATTTAGTTCATTTTCAAACAAACCTATGCTTATTTTCGTATACAGAAATGAAGATAAGTTTAAACATATCGAAATAAAAACATAATATCTTTAGTGATAAGTATTTTAATTAGTGATGAAATACTAAAAACAAATGTATGCGAAAGCCGGGTGGAAATAAGGTCAAAAAACAACATTGAGAAAATATGAGTAGTCAAAATAAAACGAAATTGAAAAGAAGAAATTTACCAGGAAGCCGAAAAGAGAAAGAATAAAAAGTAGAGCAAGAATGTTTTAAGTAGGAATTTTTGAAGAAAGAAAGAAAGACAATAAAAGAGAAGGAACTTGAGGAAGTATTAAAGATATTATGCAATAAATAAATAAAGAAAGAAAGAAAGAAAGAAAGAAAGAAAGAAAGAAAGCTGAGGAAGTATTTAAATAATTAATACAAGAAAACGAGAAAAAATGAAAGTAAGTAAGAAAGAAGGAAAGAAAGAAAGAAAGAAAGAAAGAAAGTAAGAAAGAAAGAAAGAAAGACAGACAATAAAAGAGAAGGAACTTGAGGAAGTATTAAAGATATAATGCAATAAATAAATAAATAAAGAAAGAAAGAAAGAAAGAAAGAAAGAAAGAATAAAGAAAGAAAGAAAGAAAGAAAGAAAGCTGAGGAAGTATTTAAAGAATTAATACAAGAAATAAAGAAATAAAGAAATAAAGAAATAAAGAAAGAAAGAAAGAAAGAAAGAATGAAAGAAAGAAAGAATGGTAATAAAAGAGAGAGAAACATTGTGGAGTTATTTAAAGAAATAATGTAAGAAAGCAAGAAAGAATGACGGAGAACAAAACAATATGAAAGTGTGAAGAAGTTAACTGTAAAAACAAAAATTAAAGTAAATATCGGGAATAAGAATTAGTAAAGGTGGCAAACTTAACAAAGAAGAAAGGAAGGAAGAATTGAAGACAAAGACAGAGAAATTGAAAAAGAAATCGCATGCCCATTGTCAGAAAACCATTTAAACCGTGGGACGAAGAGGAAAATTCCCGCTATGCGTTTGTATCAGGTGAAAAATCGTTGACTCACAGACTGCAGGGTAAAAGGGCACCTATATTCTATCGATTGCTTCCTTCTTCAGCTTTTTTTTTATTATTATCTTTGCACTGTACCAAAACTAGAAACATTGGGGAGCTGACTTAACACACTAGACAAGACAAATGCATTCAAACTTTTTTTCAGCCCCTCCCAAAGGACTTCAAACAAAATACCTAGAAGGACAAAAGTATTTTTAAATCGAATCTTTCTGTACTTTGGAAATACTTCTTCATCCATATTCTTTCTTCTTCTTCCAGAAAAGGAATAATCCAATGGAAAAGCTCAGTTAGAAATCAATAAGGCATGCTTATAAAACAGTAATGGTACGTATCCATTTTTGGTGTGTATGTCTGTGTGTGTGTTAAAAATGTTACTTCGCCAAGAAACATTACATTAAGGCATTTCTGGAAGGTAACATTTTTAAAACGGTCAGACTTTCTAGTTTTGGGGCTCGATATCAAATGCATTAAGGAGTTCAATATATAAAAAAAAACTACCTTGTGGTGCTCGATATCAAATAATAGTGCATTAAGGGAATCGATATCAAATGATAATGCATTAAGGGGCTCGATTTCAAAATATAGTGCCTTATGGGGCTCGATATCAAATAATAGTGCATTAAGGGAATCGATATCAAATGATAATGCATTAAGGTGCTCGATTTCAAAATATAGTGCATTATGGGGCTCGATATCAAATAATAGTGCATTAAGGGAATCGATATCAAATGATAATGCATTAAGCGGCTCGATTTCAAAATATAGTGCCTTATGGTGCTCGATATCAAATAATAGTGCATTAAGGGAATCGATATCAAATGATAATGCATTAAGCGGCTCGATTTCAAAATTAGTGCCTTATGGTGCTCGATATCAAATAATAGTGCATTAAGGGAATCGATATCAAATGATAATGCATTAAGCGGCTCGATTTCAAAATATAGTGGCTTATGGGGCTCGATATCAAATAATAGTCCATTAAGGGAATCGATATCAAATGATAATGCATTAAGCGGCTCGATTTCAAAATATAGTGCCTTATGGGGCTCGATATCAAATAATAGTGCGTTAAAGGTATAGATAGTAAAATACATACATCAAGGTGATCGCTATGAAAGGATAGGGCATTATGGTCCTCGATATAAAAAAATAATGCTTTTTGAGGCTAGATATCAAATGATAGTGCATTACGGGGCTAGATATAAAAATAGCGCTTTTTGGCTCTCGATATCAAAATATAGTTTATTAAGTGGTTCGATATCAAAAGATAATGCATTAATAACTTCATTAGGGAAAGTAACAGCGCGACATCCAAATTACAGTTTCTAGATAAAGGAATCAAACAGATGCAACAATTTAGATATCTGCGAAGCGTATGAAAAGAGCGCGGAAAGTGTGACACGGAAATACAAACGCGCATTGATATAGCAAAATATTCCTTCGAAAAGCTGAGAAAAGTATTAAGAAACAGAAAACAAATATTGTTAGAAATAAAAAAAATAGTAGAAAACTGTTACGTCATATGCTGGACAATATCGAATGAATGCTGTAGGATCTCCGTACAAATGAAGAAGAGACTTGAAGTAACGGAAATATGGTTCTACAGAAGGATGTTGAGAATAGCATCGACCGAACATGTGAACAATGATGAATTTTAGAGAAAAATGGAA